AGAGCGTTAACTGTTCCCTGCTACTCCAATACGGTATTATGAGTCTAAAACTACTTTCCAGCCTTTTGACGGGAAGATTCCTGGAAGAATATTACGCTAAATATTCTTTAAGGATAACCCGATCAGGTAACTGAGCATACATGTCGCGAACCATTCCCAAAGGAAACTGGGGACGTGGACGATTTATTGTAAACGGCGAAAGTTCCAAAACCACAGCAAGGTGATGATAAGAGCTCTCCATTCAAATTCTCACTGTCTGTGCACTCACACTCTCTTGTTAAGTCTGGACATAATATTTCCCACAATTGTCAAACTTCTTACGAGAGGACCTAAAAGAACCAAAACCCGCCTCTCCGATTCCCCGCATGAACGAGACGTCCACAATCGAGTGATCAAAACCTTCCTAAGTTTAGGGATGCCTCAAATTTCCCATTGGTCAAAACGCTTCTACAGTTAGGACCGAACCAAAAATCCCCTCTCGATTCCTCCAATGAACGAGAGGTCGCACTTATCAAATCGAAGTGAATCAAACGCTTACCTACAGGGTCAGCCTCAAACTCGCCTGTTTGGCCAAACCTTCCTAGCAGTTAGGCGTCAAAATCATAATTCGTTTGTCTCGATAAAACGAGAAATTCATCTTTCTAGTTCCGTAATCAACAGCCTTTCCCGACGTTAGCAGTTATTCTGGAATCTTTTCGATGCTCGGGTGGAGAATCCCACTCTTGTTTCACCCTTTCCGGATTCTGGGGGTGGAGTATCTCCACCTCGAGTCTCCTTCTCCAGCTGAAAGATAGATATAAAATTATTCTTCTTCAGTGTTTGGGCAGATAGGTATGAAAATTCTTGCCTCTCCGCCATTTCGGCTTCGTCTTTGCCCCAGAGAAGACAATCACCTTTTTCAACTCCCAAAATTGTGCCTCACAGGTACAGGGAATATTTTATCTCCGAATTCCTAAGAAGGGATAAGTCAGACGTCTAAGCAGGCGCGTTGCCGGTTTAGTCTTTCAACCGATTGAAGAAGGACACCAAGATTCCAGCTCTCAGGAAGTCTTATCCCGAATGCCTAAGCAGGGATAAGTCTGCCGGCCTAACACGCGCTGCCGCGGTTTAGTCTTTCCGCACAAAAAGACAAACACAGGTTCGATCTGGGTATTTTATCCTGAAACCTAAGCAAGGATAAAGTCTGCGCTTTAACTCGCTTGCCGGTTAGTTCTTAACCCGTTAAAAAGAACGCACCGTCCATATTTCAACATTTGTGGCAGTTTGTTATTAATAAGCACCGAAAAATCCATAGCCTCACACGGCATGGGAATTATCATCCTGAATCCTAAGAAAGGATATCTGTCCGACACCGTAACACGTTGTTCGCCCGGTGGTGTAGTCTTTTACCGATTGAAAAAGACACCAGAACTAACGCAGTCTGGGGTATTTTTATCCCGAGCCTAAGTAGGGATAAGTCAACGTCTATACACGTTGCCGGGTAGCCTATCTCCCATAACATTGGTAAAGCCTAATGTTATTCAACATCATAGCACAAAGTCTAAGAGAATTCCACTCTCTAGCACAACGTTACATGCGGGAAACGGATTTTCTGTCAATCCGCATGCTTAGCCCACTCCAACGGTAGTCGGTAAAGGCTCTAATCAAATCGTTAAGGCCTTGGGGTACGCCAAAATCTAAAGTCCAACGCCTAACACGGCTCGCCGGGTGAGTCTATTCCCGTGAGAAAAGACGAAGTCCTACCGTATTTCGAAGTCGCTAGCATCTAAGTCTAAAAGGGAGTTCATTCCTTTAGCACAACGTTCAGCATGTGGAACGGACTTTAAGACAAGTCCCGCATGTAAGCCCGATTTCAAACTGGTAATCGGTAAAAGCATGACATAATCCGTTGGGCTGAGGATTGCCAAAAATTCCTAGATCAACGTCTGATACACGTTTGCTTGTTTAGCTTTTTCACAGTGAGAAAGGACGAAGCCTACGTACTATCAATATCGTAGCTGGGAAAGAGTTAACTCTTTTAAGTTCATAAGTCACATGCGGAACGGACTTAAACAGAATCCGGCCATGTAGCCCGACTCAGAACGGTAGTCGGTAAAGGCGCTATACAAACCTCGGTTGATCGCTGGGGATTGTGCACAAAATCTGATAAATAGCGAGGAAGTCACTGACGCTTCAGCTTCATTTATTGCTCTCGTGACTTGAGCAATGCCAGCGACATTCAAAACCCTAAGTGTTAACAGCCGGTACAACGATTATACGCCCTAGGTCAAACGCCAGTCAGCGCGTTGCAAATCAGAAGCGTTCAACGTACGAGTCAATAACCTAGAGGTCAACGCCGGACTAATGCGTAACCCTAGGTCGACTGTCCCAGTCAATGGTTCTCGTGTTGACGATCAAAAATCAACGTACGACGTTCAAAACCCTGGTCATTTACGTGTCAACGGCCGGACCACGAACGGATGTATTCCGTTGCTTGCGTGCGATTCGTCGATCTCGTCGCCTCGTTGGTTCGTCGGTTTGTACCGAGCTGTGCAAAGGGACCTATAAGCAATTTTATATGCCTACACTTACATGCATACATTTTTAATAATAGCATAACTCTCCTATTAATTGTCCACTAATATTAACTTCTATTTTTTGTAACCCCTCCACTTAAAACACAAAAAACTAATAATATACGTTTCAATTTGCAAACAAAGTGTCAACTTAAAATACCATTATTGCATGCATTCATACATACTTGAAATGAGAGTTACATTTTTAATTGTAGTTTTTATTTAAGTGGCAATTACATTTGACTGTTACGGAATCCAAAGAGCATGTTATTTATTTATTTATCATAATAGCCCTTACTTACAACCTATATAAATTCACTCATTTGATGATTTAGATTTACACTCACCTCTTACAATCCTAACAACATCTTATACTCACCCCATGACTTTACTATGATATTATTTGGATGATACAAGCTCGCCAGTGAAAATATTATCCCTTCAGAAGAGATAACGACAAAGGGGGTGAAGACGATTGAAGTTATGCTGAGGAAGTATTGAGCTTTACTCAGATCATACTTTATACTGATGTGATTTTTAGACTGACGGCTATATGTGGATTAAGGATACGATTGATACAAAAAAATGTGGAGAATTCGAATTGAGTCTAAAGTTTAAGGTCTATTTTTTTTAGGGGGGGGTAATGAACTTTTTTCTATTTCTATAATTATTACTATGTACTTAATTATGATTTGAGAGAAATATTGTATTATCCATGAACTTAGTAGGTATATTTTTTGTAGCATGTTACTAATTATATGATAATAGAAGAGAGAGAGAAGGTAAAAGTGAGAATTTTATTTTGTTATAATGGATTAGTAAAAATAAAGATAGTTAATATAAACTGGAATAGCATGACACACTTAACATAAAAGTAAAGAACAAACTTGGAATTTTTGTCTTTTGGGTAAATTTTTTTATATAATAAGTATATTATAACCTCCCTAATGTTAAAACTATATTCTAAATTTACACATAAAACTACCAGTAGTTATTAAATGTCATTCATTATCTTAAATTATAAAGTAAATAGAACTATGTCTTTTAAGATTAAAAAAATTGTATCTTTTGGGTATTCCATGATTTGCCAATGTTCACAAAATAACCCTAAATTTTTTTCACAAACAACCATGGATCTTCATAATTTTCACAAAGACCATTGAAATTTCATTTATTTATAGAAAAATACCGAAACTTCATAATTTTTTACAGATAAACCCTATATAGTTCAAAACTTAAATCCTAAGAAGATTGAAAGAAGTATATGATCTAAATTGTAAGAAAAATACAAATAATCCTCAAATATAATTACATTCAAAATGAAACTCTTCCATTAATTAAATAATGAATTGTGTAAAGTATTAGAATATAAAACAAATATGTCCACGTGCAACGCACGTGCACTGTACTAGTATATATAAAAGCATCGTAACTAAATGGGTTATTGGGCCACCCATGAACCACCCATTTAGTAAATGGGTGGATGAGAACTGATCCATTTAGCAATTGCTAAATTGGTTATAAATGGTTAAGTAGTCATAAATGTGACCACCCATTTATGACCCAACTAAATCCAACCAACCAAAACTACCCATTTGACATGCCTACTTGAGATCTAGAATTGCTAGAGATTGATGTGAATCCAATCATTAAGGAAACCAGAAGGTGTAACTTTGAAGCATTAGAACATCGCCTTGTTACTGTTGTTGTGATAAGAAAATTTGTCGTTAGCAATGTGCTAATATAAAAATAGAAAGTTAAATACTTTGGTTTTATTTTGCAAATGAGATCAGGGCAGGAAGAGAATATATAAGTTTGTCAATTTGTTCTAAAAATTTTAACCGACATTTAAAATAATTACAGAGAATTTAAATTTTGGAAGCTTTCAGAAATCTTTTGATAATTTTATTACTAATGTTTAAGATGATACGATTTAAAAATACAAAAAAAAAATCCAAAATTAAAAACTATAATCTTTAACTCTGGAAAGTGGCCGGATAAGTTTCCTACTTTTTAAGGAAAAAAATATGGAAGACTAAGTTTAAAAATAAAACTAACTATTTACAATCACATAAATAAAGAAACAGAAAAAAAAAAAAATACTCAGCTTAGTTCTTTCTTATGTTAAAATTTGAAAACACGTTCTATTAAAACAAGCTGCAAATACAACTAATTAGCTGCAATTGGAAGTAGTAGAATTCTAATATACAACAAACTGCTGCAAATGTAATTGCATATTTACGAGGATTCGATGACGTACAATCACAAGGCACTGAAGCAGGGGGTGGTTTCTGCAATTTATTTTTTCTCACCCTATAAATAGCTTCTCACTAAATCCTCCCCCCCTAATCTCGTAAGTTGCTCTTTCACCCTTTTCCCCTCCTGCAACTCACCAAGCGACCCCAAAATCCCTAGCCA